CATTGTTTTGGCCATATACGCACTCATTACGCCACTAGCATTCTGGATTGAAGTCGAGTGCGGAGGCACATCCCTCAGATGCGACTGATTATCCCTTTATCCCAGACTTTACCCTTTTATTCACTCAAAAAACTGATTTTTCGATAAAGAAGGCAAATTTGGAAGCGTCCAGGTTCCACGAACCCTTTATTCGATAAATACGTCCGAACAGTACGTACTGGCTTGGCTAACATATAAACCAAAGTATTTTACCCCTCAAATGCAATAAGAGCTAACTGACCAAGTGTCGAAAAAGACATGAATGGATAAGGTTGCCCAGATTCAGCCTAAAAATTCAGGTTCTGCAACTAACTGGAGTAGCAACACCATTTCCTTGTGCTCCGTCTTTTCTGGGGGTTGAATTCGTAGCTATCAACTAGAAAAAAGTAGAGTCCCGCACGGAAATTCCCCACCTACCACTCACTTCAGCATTCTTAAACCACTCAACTGCCGGAAAAACCTCATGCAACGCGATCTGTTTATTTGATTTCGCTCAGTCAGACGAGAATGGACGGATGGTTGTCGTGAAGCGGAAGAAATATAACGGAGTCCTATGCAAATAAACATCGTCCATTGTTGTCCGTTCCATTGCTAGCCCTTCAACCCCTGAGATCCGTTCGAGAACTATAGGCAACAATCCCAGCCTCCCTTCTAAGAGCGTATCACCCGCAGGTCACGTAATGTTACGTAAAAGGTTGAGGTCACTGCACTATAGCCGGATTAGCTACAGTAGGCGGCTATCGGCGAACTACAGTAGTATTGCGTAGGAACCATCGCTACCGTCCTGGTTAAGCTTTTAAACCCCTCTGCGAGAACCAAGTAGGCTGTTAAGGTAGCCAGTTCACAGCCTACCATGAAATGCTGAGTTTATGGTAATGGTTAGCCCCAAGCTGTGCCTTCCTAAAGAGCTACCTGAAAAAGAGCTAGACACATTCCTTCAAAGCTCCACATATTTCTCATAAGATCTTGGTCGAAAACTATTTACATAGCGCAAGCCCTGATGCTATAGCCCCAGTATGACTCTCCATGAGTGTTCATACTTCACTTCCAAAAGCAGGCAATACGGTAACTGCTAAAGCTCATTGAGTAGCGTGAAAGGTAAGGCAATACGGTAACTGCTAAAGCTCATTGAGTAGCGTGAAAGGTAAAATTACGCGGGCTTGACTTCTGCAAAATTTTGTCACCTTCAGGGTAAGAAACTCTTTGAGGGTGACAAGACATCCGCGGATTTTCCAGAAGGTATTCCTTCCATTCCGTAGTAAGGTGTTGTGCAGACTGTGCGGAATGCCCGAGCGTGGTTTCTTCTCCCCAAAAATCGCGTCGAGCCCTACGCGCCAGCGCAGCCGCCACTATGGAGAGATAGGTTTCAATTCCCAGCGGCAGGATATAGTAGCCGCCGAGGAGCTACTGCCGCTTGGGAGCTCAGAAAGAAGTTGCCCGGAATGCCCCGTGTGCCCAGGCCGCACCTATGTAATATAGGGATTCCGACCAAGGGCGTGATCTGTGGTGGAGAGTGGAACCGATGAGGTCTATTAGATACTTTGGACTACTACCACTCAATCTCGACAGATTCGAGTCCCAGAGGACAGTGGTGATGCAGTATAGAGAATAGCAAGAGATTTTCACAGTAGAATGTCTGCACAGCCTGCAATGGCTCAGTTTTCGCCACACCACCTCCACAAGCATTAACCACATAAGCATGGCGCATCCGCTACAAGATTCCTAGCCAATTCTCTTCATTTTTTCGAAGGGATCCTGGGCACAGCGACTTGTGTTCCGCTACCCGTGAAGTGAGTAATGAGTGGGCCCAGATTACAAACACGATCACCAGGGCCCCAGTAATCGTCTCTTAGCATATTCGTTAGCAAACTCATGGGATTCCACCAGAAATAGTCCTATTCCAACAACGGATTACCAATTCATAATTTAATCGAACTGGTGTCAGACGGCCCACAGTTTTTCGTCAACAGGAATTTGCTTTTGCTTGAAATTAGACAATACACAAGAGGTACCCCGGTTTGATCAGATCAGGTCCCATTTGTGGGAAGCAACCCGCATTCGACTTCCATTCAAAATCGTAGTGGCATTGGAAATATGTATGTGGCCAGTGCAATGGTTTAAGGTAGCTAGCCGAAGTATAAGCCAGTGTAATTTCCTTCAAAGAAGGACCTTGTACCAATCAACCGACCCTGCATGCCCGTTTATCGGCGTGGGATTCGATCCCCGGATCATTCATGCATAAATCGCCACCTCACACTATACCAGCAGTGCTTCTTTTCGATCATTGAACAACTTTGGAAGGAAGTTCCGTGGCTATCCATGCTCAGAGGGCTGAGAGTAGAACCAAGTGATGCCCTTAAAACACCTTTGGCGCCTTTATCAACTTCCTATCAATACTAACCCAAGTTAATCAAGATCTCAACCCATTGGGATTGGTTCTTTGGAGATTACTATCAATCAGACTCATTTGGGAGCATAAAAGTACGGACTTCACATCGGCTAGCTGTGCAGGTCACTATCTAGGACAAGTATTCATTCGGATGCCCTAAAAGTTTCGAATCGAATTCAAAGACGTGGCGCATCCCTACAGGGAATAATCAGCACCAACAGTACCCCACCAAAACTTTTAACGTTTATATTTTATAATTTTCTATTCCATGGCCATTCTATGAGCTCAGGACTGTACTATAGTGTTAACACCTGGCACTATCAACAACAGGTAATACTCCACCACATGAAAATAGTAATTTTTCTGCCCTGTTAGCATTTATTTTGTGACTGGGAGTGGGAGTGATCGACGACCTTTAGTACTACTGAAATGGGAATTACTACTTGAAAGCCAAAAACAAAAGAGAGCACGTGGAACGAGGAGTGTGCCAGGCAATCAGGGAAACAGTACAAAAAGGGGAATGCCTACATGCATTCGACGTGGGAGACGAAGGGTAGCAAAGAGCAAGAGCTCATTTTGCTTCCTACTGATCGATGCCGGCTTAAACCAAAGATCAGTTGAGGACCTGTCACAAAGGGATGCCTGGAAATTAATACAAACGATCTATACGAGATGTTGATCATAAGGGAAATGTATGAGAGAGAGAGCTTAGGGCAATGGAAGGTGGCGCCGCCACTCATCTTTTGACCAGCGGATCGGATCCTTTCTAACCCAAAAAAGCTTCGCTTTAATAGGAGGCCTTAATTGCGAAAACCAAACAGCGATTGAAAAATAAACGAAATGGACATACCATAGCTAAATCCAACAGCTTGGGATCCATTTTCAAGCTTCCCAATAGGGAATTCAGAATGGGCGGCTGCTGGTCTCCCCTCGAAATGTCTTCTTCAGTCCAGAAGTCAAATTGGACGAGGATCTTGACGGAAAGCGAGTTCGTGGCTCATCCCTACAAGGAATGATTCAAACTTTCTGAGCTTCAACAATGCCCAACCTTTTACGAGAGATTCTTCAAAGTTTCTGAGCATGGAGCATGTTTGGATACATGATTAATGATAAAAACGATCTGTTGCATTGTTCAATAGCCACTGGCGCTAATGCTACCCGCACTGGGTGAGCTAGCTTCATGGTTCGGTTCCTGCGTGATAACTGGAGCAACGGAGCTCACCTGGGCACTGTATCACGAGTTAGAACTTCATGAGGTAACGGTGGCATCGAAGCGAAATTGACCGAGATCAGGACCATGTAGTAGTAGGTCTTGCAACCATGCAATCATTTCTGCAAACCCAATAATGAATTGGATACATGGCGTGTCGTCCTCATACAAACGCTGTCTGTTATTGATGCAAAAGGAGTGCAAAATGAATCGCTTAGTCTTCTATTCCAAAAACCTTTCACAAACAGAGAAAGTGGAACGGTATCTATGAGTACTGTAGGAATTTCCAGCCTACTCAGTGACGTCACTTTTTCTGCATTTTTGCGTCTACGGACGATTTTAGGGACTCATGAAGCCGTCATTCAACGAGCAATTTAGTGTTCCTGACAAAAGACCAGCGTGCATCCCAGCCTACCGAGCTCTGATCGTGCCAGGACCAACGGTATGCCCACAAATAGTCGCCAAGACCATCTAATACGGTCTGTTCATTCCTGTTTCGACACCGAATCGAGTCGTAAATGACGTCATTACACAAGATTCACTTCTACAGTAACCCTCGACTAGTAACCACCTAAACTATACGTCAGAATTCGTGTTGTGGAACAAAGTACGTAGGACCAGGAGTGATGTTCGATCTACGGACGTGTTTACCACTATGTGAGGACGAGTTGTACTATTGAGGTTGTGCCACACGCACATAACAACAGAGACGTTAAATGATGAGGCACAGCACGTTGTTTGGACTTTTGTTTTGCTCGCATGTGCGTGTTCGTCGACGTGCTTTCGAAATCGACGCAATTTTACAGAATACGTCAAAGAACACTACATACAACGAGAATTGCCCTAATGGATCCCATTTTCTGTATGATTCAATTACCGTTGGCCAAATCAAGCAAGTTTCAGTTTGAGCCATGCTTTTGGCAACTTTCCAAACAGTCGGACATAACTGAAGCGGTCGGGATTCCCAGAAAGGCTGGAGAAATTCCGTGGATAGCCATCAACCGATGGAAACCATTGAATACCATCGGCCATGGGTTTAATTGATTCCTCAAATCTCACAATCAATGGATTCTTTGAATCCCACTAAGTCCACCGACCCCACTCGGCAAGTGTGTAAGTAAGACAACCGTTGGTTGGAATGCGCCATGCACCTGTCATCTGGGAAAGGTTTCTAATGAAGTGTTCCAAAAGTTACCGACGGTACAATAGGCCGATAAAAGCGACTCTGAAAGAGCAAAACGGCAGAACCGCAAGTTTCGAGTCTAAATGGCTAGGAAGCTCAGGTGTTGAAGCTCGTCGTAGACGAAGACGACGATGCGGCCAGACGAACGACGTCGTAACATCCGAATGTTGGCGGCTCCAACCACGAGCGTCGCCGGTCTCCATCACAACTTGTGAACTAAAAATAAAAAACACATCGTTGTTTGTGCTGTGCTACAGGGGAGTATGGGTGCGTACATGCCGCAGTACCGACACCCATGCAACATCCGAATCGCCGACGGCATTTAAGCGGCATCTGAACCGTTTCCGACCCCGTTAGCAGCTACCATTCTTGCCGTATAGTTACGAGCCGACCCCTCAAGTCGGTTCATCGACGATCGTGGCGGTGTGGTGTGTATATGTGTGTGTGCGGCAGCGAGAATAGTAAAGCGCGAGACGTCATATGTGGACTCTGAACGCGGGTGGTGTTGAACAGCGAGAGTCCGGGTGGATTCTGGATACATGGACGACGAGTAACGTGGGGTACAAGTGAAGGGACGCAGTGGGACGTTGTTTTTGTCTGGCGCCTCGAGGCAGCCCCTACCGACGACAAAAACAACCCTTCGCCCCGCCTCCCCCTCGATTCCCCTGGCCAACGTCGATGTGCCGCCACATGCAACTACACTACTGCTGTACTACTCGGAGTGAGTAGTCTTCGATCGATTAGTACGAATTGTATAGAAGGACGGAAACTGACAGAGTTTGAGGATAACCCAAACGAACAGAATACCCTAGGTATACTTGTACTCGTGAACAACATACCCTATTCAAACACCGCCTAGGCAAAACATACCCACAAGGTGTTGCACCTCCCAGAACGACACAAAGTTAGAAGGAGGAAAAAACAGGCTTTCATCTCCTGTTTCCCTACCGTCCTAGGCGCTCAGAGTGCGTCGTGCACTCAATATTTACTCAAAATCGTCGGAACTTAGCGAAGAGTACTGCGCTGTTTTCTATGTGATCTGATAGAATCGTACACCTGACCTAAGGAGGACTCAGAAGACGTTCTTCCTAACCAGTGAGCTATTTTGGTTCAGCAACTTGGAATGCACAAACTCCATGGAAGCCTGGCGGAATGTGACAGCTCAGCCGTAGAAGGGTAATGCCGAGGCTGACGACGTTTCACCTCTCTCGAATGTACTCGGACATCTTCATGTTCTTCTCAGACAAGCTGAGCATTCTGCCACCACTATCTCCCTTCCCTGAAGTCGGTTTATAATTTGCAGGGAAACATGGAAGACCTGGAAAACAAAAGGAAGGACCTGAGAGCAGTTTGTCACCAAGGGAATGAAGAGGGCCAGAATCAAGCGTCACGAGTAAATATGAGCATCAACATAGCGCTGGAGGTATTAAACATGGCGTAATCCCGAAGCGGACTGAGCAGCGGTAGCGCATCAGATTGCACAATTCCGTCTTTGTTATGTAAGGTGGGCCTGGGTGATCTAGCGGCGAATTGGGCTTTACCCGAAAATCAAAGACAAGGTCGATACGGGCTCAAAAACCCGAGTTTCTTTTCTTAAGGAATCGGTTAATAGCGCCAGAGCGGATAAAAGCTCCTACTTGGATATCCGTCGTCTCTAACTTACCGAATGGACCGAGTACGCAGTAAAGCGCTACCACAACATTGAATGAAGACGATTGTTCTTCAGAATCTCAAACGCTGGGGATTGCTCCATTTCCAAGGGTAAGATTGTCCAGGAAACGGACCTTAACTATCGGATCTTTCTCCTCGACCTCTTCTACTACTACGAAGCAGATGAAGACGCTGAGACACTCTCGCTGTTCCTACACAACCACCTCCCCCAGTCGAGCACAGCGATTTCCCTGAGATAGTATGGTTTCATTAGCCCTTCGTTCTATGAGGTAGAGACGCAGATTACCCTGGCTGCCTGCTGTAACTACCCTGCTTGTAACAAATAACCATTCATTTATCTTTGATCAAGTAGTTAGAGACGCAGAGGAGTCCCCTCGCTGTCTGCTGCACAAATAACCTCCCAAGCTGGCACTCTCTTTACATCTGTATCAAAGTAGCTAGAGACGCAGAGAACGCTCTCGTCGTCTGGCACAATACAAATATTTTCTAATCATTTATTTTGGTAACTTGTAAACACAAAAAAGACACTATAAAGAAGAGGAAAAAAAAACATTGTACATACAAATGAAGAAACGCTTCACTGATGATAAAGAAAGAATAACGGGACGAGTTTTGTGGGGCTCGGGTGCTTCTTGGGGGATACCATATAATATATATTTCTGCATATTTATATAACAATAAGAAGGTAAAACCAATTCCTTTCTTCATATCATCTGTGGGGTGGCACAAATGTATATGAAAACCGAAAAGAACGTATGTCATAACAAAGAACAGAGAGAGAGATGAGAGCGACATAGCAAAGAAACAAAGTGTGGGAAAAAAGGAACCAGAAAAGCCCGCCTCGGAACGGACGAGATCCGTGAAGCGTAAGGGATTTTCCGGGTTGAGGCCAGCATTAGAGGTTGAATCAGAAGAGGGAAAACCATGGGACATGGGATGGGTCAAAAGACGAGAAGGAAGGGCTGTCGCTACCGTATCCGAATCGAGGTCTAGGTGGGGAAGTTTGTGGGGTCATGCTCTCATACACGTCGCTGCCTATGGGCCTTACTATATCCCTGAACACCGTGTTGCCATCAACTTTATCACACATGCACACAAATTCGATATCGACCATTTATTAGGGGCACACCGTAACGGCGCCAATACTACACACAGTTTGCGTCAATCTCCTTTGGAGACGAGCGCATCCTAAGCGCCCACATTTGAAATGGGGATGGTGCAGGGTTGTAGTGGTTGTATGTACAAAAAAATGCATCTACCTGGTGATCGCAAAAAAGAGGGCTGACGACGAGTCCCGATGGGCGGGGCGAGCAGGCAAGGCGAGCGAGCGAGCGCGAGCGACAGAGTATAGGCGCTACTGGTGGGAAGAGGTCTAGTAGTAGTGGGATGAGGGGGCTTGGATTGTACCCGGTTGCTGGCGATCAGCAAGATATCATCACAATAGCAACAACTGCGAGGTAGCCCATTATTATCCGAAATAAACATCATCATCATACAATACAAAAAACAATGAAAACGAATATGAAAAAAAAGGAAATAAAAATCGAAATATAATAGAAATCTTCAACGACTCGTTTGCAAAAGAGGGACGAGGTGATGTAGGACGACAGCAGAATTGATGACGGTTTGGGTGGTGGTGGTGAAACGGACGGGCGATGGCGCATAGCTGGTGGTGGGGACACGGGGGCGGTGGGTCGACAAAGAAAATCCACACACAATGAATATTGTAAACGACATGAAGAGAAACAAAAGAAGCATGTGATGAACATGATGCACACAGAAACAATGAACCGATAACTTCAAATACACACACAGCGTGAATGAGACAATGGTGAAGGGGTGTTGGTGCAATTGGTGTACGAGAGGGTGAGTGATTAGAATGATGATAGACTCAGCAAGGCAATAGGTGGACTGTATTTTGGGTCATGTTGCACTAAATCACGCGCTGCACACCTACTAGAGAAAACGGAAACAACAGAGTGAATTCTCCATGTGTAGCGGACAACTAGTACAAATGAGGGCGTGGTTGGCGTTAAAAACAGACTATGGATATATTAGGGCATGTGTGTGTAAGAGTGTGGATACGAATGGATGAATAGAATGGGTGCACAGCACTCAGAGATTGTCGAAATTGAGGCGATGATCAGAGGTTTGGGACAGTTCATGTCGCAACAATGATTCGACTTCAAAGTCCATAAGTGGTTGATCGGGCAGTGTGAGACTTTCTAGGTCCGACGGTAATGCCGCTGCCGCAGCAACTGAATTCGCCTGTGCTACAGCAGCACATGATGATGGTGGCAATAAATGGCCACCATGATGTGTACCTGGCCATGGCGAATACGTCTGATAAGACAATGGCAACCTGAAATGGACGTTAAAGCATTGGGAATGAAAAAATGAATTACAAAAAGAATGAGGCTGTTCCAAGTGTCGGGCAGGATTCAATGAAGTAACGTTTATACTTTGCTAAAACGCAGCAAAACGCTCGCATAAAGCATAACATAACCGCAACGCTTCTTGCGCACAACGCTTGACCCACATCCTCCACTCACGTACAAGTCATTCCACATATTCAGACGGTGCAGATCATAGATCGCTGACGCGTGCGGTTGCGAAGCGGCTGCTAAGGAGCCATGCCACTTTGGTGCAACAGATCTAAGACAAAGAAAATTCCTCAACTGCTTCTTTTCAAAACGAGAGTACGAAAGTCAACTCGGTTTCAACAAAAAGCAAATCTCTCTATCAGGTATTATAACGAAAGTTGTGATACTCGAAGAAATCTTTGGCTACTTTACAGCAACGATTTTAGCCGAACCGCTGCGCGACCGCACGCGTACATGACCTGCGAGTTGCACAACTGGAAATTTTTTACGAGGAAACAATCGACGAAAGAAATGGCAATGCTTACCCAGATGATTGGAATTTCACCGACGCCAATTGCGATCGCAAAAGTGGATTCTGTAGTTGAGACTGATTACAGACACTGCTCAATTCGAGGTAAGAAGGCGGTTGAACACCAGGCGATTCCGTCTAAAAAATGATTATCGATTGATCGGCGTGCAGAACAACCATGCCGCACTTTGTAACTCTCGGCCCATTCACTCGTGCCTTAGCCCCCTACAACAAAAGACCACACAATCCCATTTACCCCCCTCCCCCCACTCCTTTCTTTATAGACAAAGAACGATGGTCATTAGTTCTCAGTTAATTGGTACTCCCAGTGAATGAATAGCCAAGCACGTGCCCACAATCAAGAACAATAACATATTAACGGAGAGGGGAGGGAGCACACCCAGGCGAGAGGAAGTAGAGATATAAAAAAACGAAAAAAATGCAACATTCAACAAGAATTATTTACCTTGATCTGCTTAGGTTCTTGCTTGACACCATTCATCATTGCCCGACAAGAATCGATTCGCATCTGAAAAATCGATCAATCAATAATTATTGAAACCAGATCAACTCTTTCGGCGATCGAATATTCAAGTCACAAAGTCAAATACCCGTGGATCGATTACCGATTGACTAGAATTGCAAATTTGATTCGGTTTACGGTGGACGGACGCATTACATGAAAAACTAGCGAACGCTAAGCGCAAAGCGCCAAATCAACCAACTTGACACGTTAAACCTTGAAAACGCGGTTGCAAAAAGTCTGTTAACAGGACAAGACAAGGAGAACTATGATGGTCGCGTTCCCACAAGTCACAGATGCTTCCGCGTCCGCGACGCAACCGCGCGCGTCTATTTAAAACTTTCACGGTTTTCAAACAGTACTTTCAGAACGAAGTCAAACAGATTATTTAAGCCTTTCAGATAGTTGAAAAATTCATTCTACTGTACCTGGTCTGTTCGATCCAGAATATCGGTAGGGATCGGCGCGGTATGGTTGGAGTTGGCGGCGGCAGCGGCTGCGGCAGCAGTGGACGCTGCGGCGGCGTCGTTTACCCAACTGGGGAAATCGAAGTCGTCAAATGGATGTTCCATTGAGGGCGAGACACGGGTAGATGAACCGGGCACCGACAGATTCGATTGAGTCCTTGGACTGAAGAAATTCGTATATTTGAGACGATGATAAGAATTGGACGAGTTTCCGCCATGTTGAGCAGAACTCGTCCACAGCAGATCACACCGACAAAACTCACCGAAACATCGAATCAAACGATGCATGCATTGCATCGTCATCGCCATAGATATCATGCGACATAACTGACGCCTGTAAATTGGTGGATTAGGATGGTAAATACAAAAGCTATTGATCAATATCGATCGGCTGGAACTATGAACTACCTACCTGCGAACCGGCCAAACTCGACACGCCGCTATGCAAGCCGCCTCGGATATCATGAATTCGCTTTCGGGCACCTTTCAATTTTTTACTGAGAGTGGCCTGAAATGGGTAGATCATGAACCGGAAATTATTTGAAACGGTATTTTTTTTGTTTAAAATGCTGAATTTTCAATGTGTCTTTATGGACCCGAGTCAAAGATCCCGTACGATATCTGATTATCATGGAATACCAGCCGAGAGCAGCAATCCTATGCAGAAATCCCCACCCGCTGTGTGAGACGTCGGCACCCCGTCGACATTGGCCGCATTGTTCTCGACCGACCAATGAAGGATTAGTTTAAGGGCCATTGTAGCTACGAACATTCATCTTGGCGAAAGACTTTGTCCAGCGCCAGTTAGTATTTCGAATAGCATAACTGGTTACTACAAGACTTGAGAGCATTCAAAGGACCTGGTTCTGTGAACAGCTCTGCTAGTGACACAAAAGAATTAGGTTCTAGTACCGTATGTCCAGTACCATCAAACAAAGCACCATACAAATGATGCAAATTGATTAGTCCCACAAAATGATTATTCTATCAACCGCTTTGTACTGAACACCACAGGTTACACTGGGGCAGTAGATAGGTACCCAACCGAGTTCCCAGCCTACAAGTAGATGGCCTTCAATGAAGTGATGCAAAAGTCAGGGAATGCGACCCTGGAACAACTCTGGAACCACCAAACCAATGAAACCCATTCCAGCTCCCACCTAATGCTTCTCGGATTCCACTATGGGGGCATAAACAATCGATCTAAAGACTTAGCGTCATCTGTGTTTCGAATACGGTATAGCAAATCGTAGCCCCGGCAAGATCTCTTGTCTTGCATTATAGTATATTTAAATCTCAATAGAATAACTTTCCTGTAGAAGCTCCGCCCATTTTAGCGCACGCCCCGCCTACTTCGAGCAAATTTCGTCTTTCCGAAAATGGAAGGGCCAGGAACCTTTCCCCACAACAGACTTGCAAAATAGGACTCTCCGAAACAAAAGCAAAAGCATTTCCGGGTAAGTGCTACTAAATAGCTCCCAGTAATCAACATCAAGCTGTGTCAGGCAGGTGAAAACTCTACTCGTCGTAAAACAGCTGTTCCACACACGAGCTTTACTGCATTGTAAAGGTTTTTCGTGCCACCTGATACATGGGAGACGTTTTTTGGCAACTTTTGACAAACTGAAGTAGCGCCCGAATTCATAGACAACCTCAGACGCCTTAATGCTTCCTATTTTCTATGCAAATGCAAAACATCAACAACGTGAAAAACATCGCCACCAGAGTAGTTCCCCCTCTTCACCCAAAGTTCAGTTAAATCAAAGATCACTAGGATGGGTGGAATGGGTGGAATTGCTGTATGCAGTATTGCCAATATTCGTATCATATGGGTACAATCCCCGTTTATGCCTATAATCGGATTCAAGACATACAAAAAACATATTCAGATAGTGGAAACGTCATACTTTTCAGCAAACATGGTAATCATATACGTATGGCTTAGCAGAATCGATCAAATAATACAAAATGGTAATATTGATCGATCAGAACAAGCCAAACCAGCCCACAGTCCTACGGTCGATACAAAAATTGATAACAGTATCTCTAGGCATAGAAATCCCGATTCCACTTGATGGTAGAAGAATATAAAGCAATATAGGGAATTGGAATGATTCCAACAAAATTATCAGAAAACTGACAAAGGGAGTCCACACTAGGCGAAATTTAATTAATGTTTCATTTTACGTTCATGGAAAACCAGGGCCACATTAAGGGTTGATCCCGAAAAATTCAAAGGTCGTATCAAAATTACCGTACCTTGCTCGTGGTGTCCAGTGTGGAAGCACGAACGCGTCGTGGATTTCGTCCCGGTTTAGCGTCCGGATTGATCACCCACCATGATGATTTACCGGCACCTTCATTTTGGATACGCATAAAACGTGAATGTAACGAGAGATTGTGCCGAATAGAATTCTGAAACGATAAGAAATATGGTAATGGATCTGCAAAGATACGATAATGCTAAATGTAATTTTAAGAAATTGTCTTAATTCTCCAATGGAGCAGATTTTGCAGCTGAGCATGCCTTACGGAAATTCATATTTTACTTGGTACCCGAACTTCAAGGATTTCTACAAAGGTAAAGCAAAATATATTCGAAAAATCGATTATCGATTTCTCATCGAGTTTTTCTCATTAAATATGAGCATGATTTTTGAAAACAGTTAAAAATAATATTTGGGATACCGAAGTCAGAAAACAGGAAAAGGACTTCTTTGATCTCAAAAATCTCTGATTCATTCCCTTGCTCAGGCGGAACTACTAGACTAGAATCGTAAGAGGACCTTAATAAGATCCCAATTGAACTATGAACTATGAATCGGTGAAAGTTGAGAGCCGAAGAGGAAATGCCAAGAAAAATGAGGATAGGAGGACATGCTAGTATATAAGAAACTAAGGAAAAATTAAGGAAGGGCAGGACCATATTGAAGCCCTGAGTCAGGCCTACATATTTCTTTTCCAACTGATGAAAATTAAGAAAACAGACAACAAAAAACTATAAGCTCAAGATCTCCCACGAAATTTTTCTTTGCGTCCGTCACTATTTTCCTTCCTCCTGTTTTCCATTCCTTCCTGCTTCCCTTTCCCTTTTCCTTTGCTTTTGTTTTTCCAACCTCTGAGTTTTTTCACACATTTTTCCAGAAACACTCGCATGGCGCCGGATAGCAAACCAGCAGAAAACCCTGGCTCCTCTTCAACCTACAGGACAAACTGGCGACTCCAAACAAGGCCTCGGAAGTTCCCTTTAAGGTTGTCCTCACCAAATCCGGTTTGGATGACCCAAACACACTTAAGACCAGATATACATCTAGAACTACCACTTGAGCAACCGTTCCCAGCTTACGGTTAGTTTCCCGGAAGCATGAAGCCCTTTCAACGGCCACTGCCACTTCTACCTCTTTTCAAATGCCGACTACAGCTGGTCGGCGTGTGAAGTGTTCGGCGGCCGAGACGAACGGCTATCGTCCGTCGGGCTGACCTCTGGTCGATTGGCCGTGGACGGCGCTGCTGGCCGTCGCCGCTCCCTTGCTCATTCTGTCATTCATAAAATGATACATCAACTAGTACTCATGGAGATTACCCCACTATTCAGTGTGTGGCTTAAATTCAATCCCGTTCCAAAGATCATAAGTGGGAAAGCGGCCTAGGAAGAGCCGAAGTAGTATGGGAAGCAGTCAACATGAAAGAAATGAGATCCTAAACCGCTTAAGATGACATCATCGCTGCCTAGGCTGTCTGAAGTGGCCAGCTTTCCCATGAGGATCAAAGCTCGTGTCTCAAGAAACCACTCCTGATCTCATGAAGGGCTCGGGAAAGGTCTTATAAAGAAATACCGTAGTCTGAACAAGTTTACTATGACATGACCATCGAAAAACGCTCTTAAACTATCACCTGCACCATCTTAGTCAGGAGACCAAAACTGGTCCGCCACAGTGCAGCAGAGACAGGTCTTGCGACGAAAACATTACTTCTGTACTATAAAAACTCCAAAAGAACCCTCCTAACCAGTAGAATGATGTTATGGGTCAATGTTCAAGGGCATGATAAGTGGGGAAAACTGGTGACATTGCACGATAAGAGCCGTATCAAAAGATGACACGGAGTGCTGGCCGTCACTTCAGGTTGCATATGCCCCTATTGCCCGCATAAGACCTGGTAGGCCAATTGTTTGAGGATTCCATTGAAGTGCTTTGAACCCTACGATTTTCTATTTCCCGGACTGGGCTACAGTAGGCCGAAGAGGCGGTTACCCCCTCTTTCCGTTTCGTTTTCCGACAAAACCCGAAACTTCTGATCCCCTGACAGGGAGGACTCTACTGTCCCTAACAAGGTGGTTCCTACTACTCCTTCCCCATCGTATCCTCAACCTCCCGAGGCAACAACCTTTTTTCTCAGGCTTTCATGGGGTCAACAGGGAAACGTCTCTGGGCAGCGATCTTTGTCGTAGCTGTTCGTGCCAAGCGTTCGCCCCACGGCCGCCGTCATCGTCGTAGTAGTCTACACACAAACCTAGCGCACACGGGGGGCATTATATGTGCTGAATAGACAATGCATCGGGCCGAACGGCGAAGAGAGCAGGCAACCGGGCGCGGTGGCAGGCGGAGGGCGACACGCCGTCGTCGCCGTCGGCTCCTCATCACCGACCACATGAGCGAACGGGAGAACGGCTGGAACGGCTGGAACGGCTGGTCGATGATCTGAACCGACGTTCGGATTTCGTACATCCCACGATAGCGCTAGGTAAAAGGTCAACCCCAGATTAATCGCTTTACAGCTTCCCGAAGGAATCGTTGGCCGATTTGGCACCTCGCCAACACCCTATACCAGCTTTTCAACCTACAGGCGTCTTTTGGTTAAGATTTCTCAGGGTTAGATGGAGTACTGTAGGTATCCCACATAGATGGCCATAGGATGACTTGCAATCAAGCCCAGTTGTTGCACATCGATTTTTTAAGAGGGATTGAGGAAGCAGGAGGAGGAAGTGGGAGAAAGAGGGGACCGGGACATATGGGACTTATTTTTCTTGAAGTAAAACCCCGCTAATCGAGCCTCCCGTTTAGCCCTTCGTTACTGAATGGGATGTGGCAAAATTTCGATTTCCACCTTCCGATTCCGTGGGTTGCGGGCAAGAGACATTCATTATTTGGAATTACTGGAAAATAAAGTTTGAAAGCCGAAAAACTACCGTAATTCTCAACGTGAACCACACCGTAACACCCCCTTACACCGTAATGACCTTACCACTCCCAAAGGAAGCTTACGTTTTGAAATGTCAGTGTTCGGGAAAGCTCTGGGGTCAGAATTCCGTACCGAACGGCCGAATTGGACTTCTCATCCCGTAAGCGCACCTCTTTTCAACTCGTCCCGGTTGAATCACCTGTTCCCTGGCAACGAATAGTTACGAAAACTCTTGGGTGAGACGGAAATTGTGCTTTCATAATTGATTTACCCGTCTAGACAACAACACAATTGGCTAGACATCTCATCCCAAGGGATACAGTTCTCTCCGGGTAGTCTACCATTCGGGAGTGTCCATCGAATGGTCAAACCCCTTTATTACCACCGATGATGGCCGTCGATAGTGCGACGTTATAGTGTGACCTGAGTGATGATGGCTGAGAGATCTGTGTCCGTCCGTTCGGCTGGTTGGGTGGCTGGCTGACTGACTGACTGACCGAGCCAAGCCAAGCCAAGCCGAGCCAGCGCCATCACCGATCGCTCATCGTCCCCGTGATATCGATCGGACCACTACGATGAGATGGCCCAAACGGCTGGACGGACCACCATCACGTTCGTCATCATTATCGATCCTATCTTGATCAAGATCGAATGATTTTATCACTGGTCCATTCACACTGTATGACAGCTTGTCGCCTACGGTAATGGGGGACGACGACGGTAGCCTACCCTTATCGACGTCACGCCATCTGTCATTCAGTTGTTAGCAGAAGAAGCCGCAGCAGCAGCCAGTAGTAAGGGGCTAATCAATTCTACTAATCGAATCAATAACCGTAAATTGCACGCTCCAATAGCGAAATGTCGCCCCGAAACGAGTTTTTCGACACTAGCACCGTAGCGCCGCGTTGAACAGTGTGGTAGTGTAGGCAGAGTTGGAAGGGGGGTGGTAGTAATAGCAACTGGTCGAAAACTAGCTTCTTCCATTAGCATCACATCACAAAGCAACTTTAACTTTGGCATTTGAAAACGATCGATATCGATCGATATTGCACGTCGAAGGGCCATTAGAGGCGACGGAGGCCTACTGTGCTTATATGGTAATGTTCAATCAGACCCTATCAGCCAGCGATATTAAAAATGCTACCATTCCCTGGGGGACCAAATTTCGTCGGGGTATTGCTCTTCAACGGCTTTCAATGAGGTCCCTGCTGGATGCCATACGAAGGCCGTTTTGACCCGAGTTTGCCTCAGAGTAGGATCGAGATCTAGATCCTGGATTCATGGGTAAAGGGCTGTAGGATGAGAGAAAACAGATGACGTGCTAGGGGCTAGGGTAGAGTAAAGCAAAACAAAGTCCTCAAACACATAACACTCAAGGTACTTCAGCGGTACTCAAAACTGAGCCGAAAGTCATCAGAGAGTACCAAAAACTATTTGAAATTTTCAGTTAAACATAACTGGGATAGGGGTCCCATTTAGGAAGGGACTGGGAGAACACCACCACATTTTGTAAGGGAGGGGAGATTCATATTCTTAGACAGAACCTGAGGGTTTTCAAACGACATATAACGGCTAGTGAGATGACCTGCACCTTCCCAACTTCCATATTCCTGACTGTTCAGACCTCGGATTGGGAAAGCACTCCCAACCTGGGAACTTGAACTTTTTGAACTCTACAAACCAACCCGGTTAACCTGAACAAAGTAACGATCCTAGGTTTTACCCAAGTACCTTTGCTTGGCTCAAGGACATTCAAAAAGGCATTTATGGCGCAACCTGAGTGGACAGGAGTTTCCGAATAACCCAGTGAACATCTGTGGACCTCCTTCGCCACAAAGCTTGATTCTTATGGGCTCCAAAGCTTTTCCAGCTTTGTTAGTGTACTTGAAAAACTCTAAAGAAACAACGAGGTCCTTCAATCCCAATGATCCTTGAAGACAAAGCCCACAGAACCCACTCTGCTCTACTCCAATGCCTCCCGTCAATCAACCAACACATGCGCTGAGTGTGTGAGCCTGACAGACTCTGGCTGGAATCGAACAGCAGGCATTTTTCTCACACATCACGTGGCACGGGGCGCAATGAGAACGCCGCTAGGCCAACGAGCGGCTCGTCGGCCTGCTATTAGAGGATTATAACGAATGACCAGCTGATGAGGAGGCTCGCTGTGGTGCGTTGACGGATGAGGAGCGACGTGGACGTGATGGAACTAGTGGTCGCTAGAGGAGAGTGTGAGAGAGCACGACAGAACGGACCAGTTGGTCCCCTACGAAACAGGCGACACTTGGAGGGAAAGTCGTATGAATCGGAACAAAAACTGTCATTAGCAACCACCATAATCACAAGGATATCAAGAGAGCATGAGAAAGTTCATTCGGAATCATATCTATGACCTTAAGATATCTGGGCCGACCGAGAAGGCCACATATGGAATGATAAGCAATAATATCGATCGATACCAGAACAGGATATCAATTTTTTGGCAATGTTTCGCCATAAAAGCTGAGCAAGCATAACAGAATGACAAAAATGGGAATGAGAGAACAGAACCGCATGGGGAAGACACCAAAAAATGGAAAGAAAACTGAAAAATGAACAGAAAAACCCTTTGGGTAACCAACCTTCCATCCAGCAGCATCCTCTTGACTAGATCGTTCCCGAAAATATGGAATATTATCAGAAAACCATTGATAGATTTCATTCAGCTTAAGCCGACCGTCTGGAGCCGATTCGAGAGCTTTGGCGATGATATCCGAATATGACTCCTCACCCCATGGGTTCGGTTTCTTCTGTGCTAATTGGTCGCTAGGCTTCTTACGACATCGTTTCTTCTTTGGAGGTAACAATGAATGGCCGGCTGACATGCCGGGAGGTAGAGACATACCAAGAGGCATCAGATGGGTACCCATCGCCGTCGATGAAGACGGTGTAGCAGCCAGAAGCTGGGCTACCGTAGGTTCACGGATCATCGGTAAATGAACCGGAGGCGGTGGATGATCCGTAGGTACGGCAGAAGAGGGATCATAGACGAATTGTTGCATTGGCCATGTATAACAACGGCTACGTGGTTCTGGCCCGAAGTCATCGTCGACAGACGACGATGACACCGATGCCTCCATGAGGAAAGACAAAATGGCTTGAGGTAGCAAATAGCCCGTAGTGAGAAGTGTCTCGGGTAGTGATGTGATATGAAAATCACGAGGTAGACAGGATGAGGTAGAGGAGGGGACGAGGTAGATGACGACGACGGGGAGGAGGAGGAGGAGGACGAGGCGAATGCGACGCGACGCGAGTTATGAGCAGGCGGGCAAAAAAACCGAACGCGACGCCCCGGTCGATTGTGTGCTGCAGTGTGTGTGTGTGTAGTGTGTATGTGTGTGTGTGTGCACGCTCGCGTGTGGTGGGCTGAGACCGACGGACGCGCGGCAAAGCGACGGCGCGACGCGAGAGACGCAGGCGGCGTTCGTCGTTACGCCACTGCCGCCGCCGTCGTCGTTGTCCATCCTCAGTCCACCGTGGTCGCGGTTTTTCTACAGCAGAACACGATCGATGCCGCTACAACGGCCACTGACCGGCCGGCTGGCGCCATAGTCGCCCCCTGACGACCTCCGCTCGACCTCGTCGTGGTCCCGACGGAACCCTGCGCCAAGGAACCTACGCAATATGAACATTCGCTATCTGGCCTAGGGATCACGGCTAAAGGGCATTCAACCGGACTAGATACCAGGGCATGCTATAGAACATTTAAATTCGCGAAAGACCGGAATACGCCATGCACTCGACTTCCACTGAAGTTGTGCGCAATTTTCACTTTCACTGTATTGCCCTAGCAGTGTTACTCGTAGTCCACTTCGACTTCCCGAACCGGTTTGATGGCTAGTGGCCGTAAATGCTCGAATACGGCCCTTTAGTATTCCACCGGTAACCGACACAGCCTCCAATGGCTACCTAACCATTGAGCCAGTAAAAGAAATCCTTCGGCCCACATGGGAGAGGAGGAACGTTACACAACTATCTTCTGCAACTACTCAATATGATGCTTTCCGCTTATCCCTATAGCCATTACCGGCTTATACCAGATGTCACCTACCGGGCGACGTGACCCGTAGGAATCTTGGTAACAGATCGTTCAGAAAGTAATTACTCAAGCGGACGGCTCTTTCATTAGCACTAAGCGATTCTCGGCGACGGTTAAGGTAGTGACCGCTACAGAACTGTTTCCGGAGAGACTGGTCAGGAAGAACCTTCCCGAAGCCCTTTGCTCTCCCTTCCTCTGCTCTTAGGTGTCCCTTCTCAAAGCCCTCTGCTCTCCCTTCAGCCTCTCCTCCGAGATGTCAAGGACCATTTTGATTTCTTGAGCTTTTAACGGCTGCTGGCTATAAAAGGCAGACCCTTGACCTGGGCTCTCGTCCATTTCTTCAAGCAGTGACGTTCATTTCCTACCTCGCCATTCCGCATCATCGCTTTCGCCTAATCGATGCGTATCGTAATCAACCCGTTTGGGTGACCTGCCAAACAGGGTGGTTAGCAACGGGCGTTACGATCGCCCAAATTGGCATCTGACACCCTTCCCACATCATATGGCACCTTCATGAGAAGCATTTTCGGTTGACAACACAATTTCGATGGTGATGAAGCAGCCCCGCCCGAACGGAAAAAACCTCGCCGAACGCGGCTACTGAACGGCGAGCGGAGAGCGCTCATCCACTACGAAGCGAGACAGCATGGGAACGATGGACGGCGCCGAGACGAGAACGTACCCCGTCGAAATGAACGCCGTTCAAAGGAAAGCACAAAGGTGGCTGGCTGGCTGGCTGGCTGCTGGGCTAGCCGGCGGCCGGCTCGGACCACCACGACCCGGGGCGCCCCATCCAGGAGATATTTGCTTGTGCCTGCTTGTGCTAAGGTGCAGTAACACACACAGAGATCGTCTTGACACACTACTCTCTCTTGTCTAGGTAAACTATGACCACAGAGAAAAATTAGTGTTTCGACAAGAGGCCAGAGATCGGATCCTGTCCGAGGGGATCAAATTCCAAAGGGAAACTTCGGAAACTGAACATGGCCTGCAGACAAATCATCTTCAAGATTACTGTAGCTACAAAAACGGGCAAATGAAGGCTGGAAAGAAGGCCCAGGAGAAAGATTTCCTCGGGAAATCGGAAAGGATGAGAAAATTCGATAATCGTGCACCCGTGCAAGAAACATAAAGATCAGTAATCACACGGAACTATCCCACGACTTCACACCAGAACAATTGCAGCATTTTTAGCCAGCTACCGTAACGTGGGACAGGGAACAAGGAATGTTTTTTGTCCGAGATTAATTAATTCTTATAGTTACCACAAAAGCTCTTGTTTTGCCGAAACAGCGGCATGCGCCATGTCTTCGTTCCTTCCATCAAAGCACAGCAAAGATTGATTGGTAAAGGGCAAATGCACTCACCTGTTCCCCTCAAAAAACTCCATGTTGCCTATTTCCCCTCATCAATTCCATCGCTACGATATCAGAATTTCATAGTGATGGTCCCGGACCTTCTCGGGATTCCCCACCTAAACATGAATGGCCAGCAATGGCCAGTCTCAGTCCGATCGCATTTATGCCGTCAATGAAGGCCATCGCAACTAAATGATCCGCAACTAAGGACGCCAAGTGTGAAAGAAAGACATGGCGCGTTCTAGCACATCTAGCACCCAAATGGGAACATCGTTGGCGACAATCGGCGAACGAAATTAAGCCGAATCGTGCGCGCGATTTCGCTTTCAGTCTGAATGATTATCCGCTCGTTGTAGCGAACTAGTTACAGCGATCTACGGGGGGACTGGCGATTTACGAACGAAAATCGCTGCAAGGCTAATTCAACTGGTCACCGTACGTGATCGAAAGCGATGATGATCTTAGGAAACACTGAACTACCCTGACAGCTGATAGAGCGAATAGCCTACTCGGTTGCCACCGGAATTCAATGGTTAGCCGGTTGCCACCCATGAAGACTTGCCCGCATCTGCTAGTCCCTAGGAAGGTTTGGGACCTTGCTTCGGATGGATGCAACAGTAAACTTTTGAAGCAAAAAGTCTCGGTCCGTTCCATTGATGGCCAGCTTGTAGTCTGGGGGACGTACATATACCGTATAATACCGTACTGTTGACTAACAGTGCACCACTAGAGCTTCACGTTGTATTATCAACAGGAAAAGGAACCAAAGTTACTTGCATGTACCCCCTCCCTCCACTTGGTATGCGCCATGCCTCGGTCGCTGGTTCGGAATTGTAGTAGCTACTGGGAAGCTCGATCACTGTACAAATGTAGCGAGTCTCAAGGTTTCCCAAAGGTCATAGGTAACCCAGAGAATCTTCTTTCATACCCATCGCGTTTCCGCAGTACATCCCTCGAAACTTCAACCAGCCTTCATTGAAACTTTCCCACGCTAACCCCAATGGTGTGGGCGGTAGGGGGCGGAAGCGTTGAAAAAGACAAGGAAGAAAGGCCAGTGAAAGAACGGACATCTGGCCATCACTCAAACTGTCCGAACGAATCCGTCAGAGCCTTTCTTTCGATGACAGTGCGCCAAATGTTACTAGCCATTTTTCAGACGGTTCACGACCCCCCGTTCGTCTATGGAGGGACGGGGTAGGGGAGGGTCAGACGTTCCCTGGTGAGATTTATGAGACACAACAGTTCAAAGGAAGCCCTCCATAAAAGTGGTGGTAATTACGTCTAGACGAGAAGCGGAAACGGAAATGTGGCGGATTTATGAGATCATAGGCCGCCGCGATAAACGCGCCCCTAATGAGCCAGATGACTTTTGGACAAGAATTATTGTTACAAAATTATGTTCCAACCTAATTCAGATGCGCCATGACTTTCGCTTCCGTTTGCCGACATTCAAACGATTGAATGGGAATGGTGATATGCCTTTAACATCAGTCGGATTTTCGTGGCAGTTAAGAGAGCCGCCCCTCCCTTAGAGGTCTTAGGAAGTCAAATTGATTGGCGTAGTTCAAGGTTACCTAGGTAGAAAGCCTTTTTCCAAAATAAGTTGTAGAGCACTTGAGTAACAGGTCTTGTAACTGTTTACCCATGCGGGGAAGCAATTTCCGCCATAAATAGTCCATTACTGCGTTACTGCTTGTCTCCGTTTAATTCGAAAGACTATATATAGAAATTATTTGGGCAAAGCGCTTAAACTTGATTGTTAGCCATTAACTGTCAGCCCGTGACAGATAGAAATGGAAAGGTATACTACGGAAAAAATTCATGGGAAGATTGGTATCCAGCAGTTCTTCTCAAGCACAAGTTGGCACATCTTTCAATCATTTGATTAGTCTTGACAGAAGACAAAGCCATGGCGCAATCGAAAATTCCAGAAACGATCTCATATTTTCGTATCGTTATTGTGTGGAACTTTTGATCCCATTCAAACAAACGAAAGTGAACCTCCCACAGTTTATAAGAATAGGAAATGGGCGGAGCCTTTACAGGAAAAATCAATACTAATCAATGAAACTGAGAACTCTTCGGAAAGAAGCTACCGTAACCGCCAATTCATGAAAAATGACAGTTTGGAGATTTTCTTGGGAGAAATTTGAGCTGGTAGTTTTTTATTTTCTTTTTGAGCTATTGCCTAGACAGCCCAGCTGATCGACACCTTCTTGAAATGGCAATTTTATGATATGGGTAGTAAAGCCGTAAATGACGCATGGTCGTAGAATCGCGCTAGCGGCTACTGTAATGACGCGAATTCACAGAAATAGGCACCTACTCAATCCTTCTGATCGGGCGTCCCATCATTCTAACCGAAGCACCGCTTCACAGCTTACTTTCTTGGCCGAAGGAAACCCCCGTGGAGCCAGCCTAGGGGCACGCGGACTTGGCTGAGAGTAGAAATCACAATTTTTTTTCCTTCCAAGACAGCTGATGAGCCAATCTACATCGCAATATTCTGACGTCACAGTTTACAACCAGCTCTAGGCTGTAAACGTTCCCACATCGCCTCCAGTTTCCCGTGCTCTTTAGCTGCCGTTACCTCCGAGGAACGGCTAGGCGCCAGAAAACGAGTCCTCGTTCAGTAAAGCCCTCAACAACGAAATACTGCGGCATGGGTGGAGAAGGCGAGACGATTGAATGTTGTCTGACTAGGAAAATAACAAAAACCCCCTACCAGACCGCCGGCAACAATGAGAGAAAGAACGACGGCGCCGAGACACAAAGAACGCTACTACGCGCGTGGCCAGCAAGCAGCCAGACAGCCAGCCAACGGGCCCGAACAAAGCCCCCCACTTTATTGGCGTGGAACGGCTAACGAAACTATCGCGAGGACTTCAACAGGGGCCCAACGGTCACTAGATGGCTCAGAAAAAAGGAAGTGTTTTGCCGCAGGTCCCCGAGATACTAGTATGAATAAATGCAACTGCCCTATGTTGTTTACTGGACAGCGCGTCCATATACAGACGAGAATTCCCAGTGTCACCAAAATAATTGCAGAGTAAACATATGGCTATATTGACTGGTAGGAAATGCAAAACGAAATTGGAATTTTCAGTTTTTTGAACCAAAGCCCAGTTGGGCGGGAAGATGAAGAGTTTAAAAAGCGACAAAAAATAATACAATGAATCTCTTCCGAGCTTGTGACCTGGGGAAAAACCCAAAAAACTTTGTTCCAAGTTGGAGATGCGCCATGAACTTCTTATGAATAGAAATCACGCAAGCGATTGGATGGATGTGACTTTTTTACAAGTCTACACTGGGCCACACCTTTATGTAAATGTTCCAGAAGGTTCACCTTAAGGAAGTGGGGTCGAATATTTACAACAGAGACTGAACTCAGCCTAAAGAATCCGCAAAATTCCGAAGACGGATCCAAAATGGTGTTCGGAACTGAGGTGATACCTCTAAGGCTCTACCCGTCGCACCCCTTGCTCCTTCATCCAGAACAGATAAAAAGAAGTGAGTGGGTAAGTAAAGGGTGAGGAGAAGCTCTAGTCCACAGCTGAACAGGAGCTGTATCCCGTAGTGGTAAAGTTACTGAGCAAACTTCCTTCTCCCTCCCTAGAAACTCCCTAAAAAATAGGCATGTGGAGTGTGGAGCCTTTAGAAGGGCCACTCAAATCCTCCTCTGGCAGAGACATGCCGACGAAAGAACATCCGAGCAATTTTCACTTTTGCAACCGATCCCTAGAACTGAAAATGAGCCAGTCAACTTCACACCCAACCCCTTCTCCCTCTGTCATTTTGTTAACGACCCTCTTCAACTCTGATGACAGCCTTCGGAGTCATCTAGCATTGCCACCCCTACCGGACAAAGGCGACACAACCATATGGCAAAACAGCCACATAAAAACGAGACCGGGTCCGATGGTCTGTGCATGTTGTGCAGCTTCCCGCACTCTCTTCATTCTGATCCAATCACTCTCTTCTCGTTGTGTTGGAGTCTGGGGGAGAGACTGGGGAGGAAAACAGCAAAACACCACAATCACAAGAAACCACCCGACAGAGTGTCAACAGAGCGCAATACTACTTTTTGTCCCATCAGAGACACATACTGAACAAACGGATCGGAACCCCGAAAAACATATCAACGAAGCAAAAATTCAGATGGCCAGTTCAATAAAAAAAATAGAGAAGTTTCCGGAAAAAAAGTTGATAGGGAGATTTTTCGACAAAAACAGTTCGAGAAAAGGTAAAGCACTAACTAACCTTCCAACCAGCAGAACTGTTTGAATCGCCCTTGTCTCGGAAATACGGTACATTCTGCACCATCCATTCGTAGACTGAAAAATCGGCAATTATTCAAGTTCTCAAGCGACATTACATTTTTTGGAAATGCTCAAATATGGTCATACTAAGGGCCTAGAGCTTGATAGTAAACCTTGTACCATGTGGCACAGAAAATTGCAAAAAATGCATGAGATAGCCAGAAAAAAAAACGGAGAAAAATTCGGAAAAGTAGCCCAAATTGAGATTTCAAGACGTGTTAGAGGAAATATTAACCGGTAGAAGAATTAAACCTATCAATAAAATATTGAAAGACGAAAAAGGGCACGGTTTCCATCTGAAACGGAGATTGATATTCGTTTGCCAAATAAAGAAGATTCCGCGAAGTCTTAGAAGCTAAAGTATCAACTGAAGATCCAAGCTCAGCATCTTACGAAAGCATGAAAGATCCAATATCGATTGGCTAATCGGAACTGAAAAAGACGCGCGCAAGTTCGTATCCAACGAATATTCCAAGTGTTATTGGCAGTTCTTTTCTCAACAATTTCCATACTTGGTAGGAAGCCTGCACCGCCTTTTTCGATGACTCATTCAAAAGACTTTCAAATTCGCTAAACAATCTTTTATGAAAGCCAAGCCGATATATTGATTTGCTCCTACAGTATCGCGCTTATTGATTTTGTCGATTTGATGCGAAGTTTAAGAAATTTCAAGACCCAAAGTACCCTCGTAAAACTACAAGCCAGTAGATAAGAGAGTAACCCGATTCTCCAACACCTCGAACCTCGAATAGAAAAAATCGAAATCGATTTTGGGCTCACTGAGAATTTCTGGCCAAAGGTTCTACAAGTGCCTTTTGCTCCTAAAACTCAACAGTCCGAAATAATTGGATGATACGATCAATATATTGATTTTAATTTGATTCCGTATCCATAAATGGAAGTGGAGACCAACTTGAGGACACAAATCACATATCGTTGAGGGTACCAACACAAAAGTTGGTATGCATTCAATAATTCGGTTTATAGAAGTCTTAATGGGTAGTCAATCGATATATTGATTTTCGTAAATCGCCATGTCCACTGAAAAACCATGATTATTAACTGGCACTGGGCAGGCCTCTACAGTAATCAAGACGAGAATATATTCCCACAAAAACCTTGATCAGTAAAACTCCAAAAGTTAATCGGTAAAACTCCAAAAGTTAATCTGTTGACACATTGATTTTATCATGTAATATCACCAATTACCATTCAGTATATTATGCGTAAACTCGAAAAAATTAGTCTCATTTCGTCATCTGAAGTCCGAAGCTGATCTGATAATTTCAAAACCCCTCGGTCTTTTTGCGTTTTTCAGAAAAAANAAAAAACGCAAGAAAAACTTGAGCTTCTCGCTAGGCGCAACAGCTGTTCAGTGCAAATGTCAGAAGAAAAATGAGAATTTTTCAAAGCAGCTGTTACTTGCCGAAGGATCTCATGAACGATGTGAACTCTTAAGCCAGTTGCTGATCGATTTTACCCGAATTTTTCGATTCAGTACAAAATAACGACCTCAATCCGATCCAATAATTCATGCCTCTTGGATGAATACAGTCACACAATCTACAAGAGCTGTTTTATTTGACGATTTTTCTTTGCAAGCCTGTCCATTCGATAGGAACCGAGTGGATGCTTTCACTAGTGGCCATAGCCAGCTATCCGGGAAAACGAAAAATCGCTTCTGAACTACACCCTGCCCAAAAGTGATGTAAGGAAAAATAGGAAAAGAAAAGGAAGAAAAAAGAAATGGTAAAAGTTTGTGATGAAGGAGGATAACGATGGATTACGATACGTTTACCATGAAAAGAGAGAAAATAAGAACGATAACTAGAAATGATTTTAGGTGAAAATACGGTATGAAGGACTTGAAAGTAGCCGGTGGTACTAGGCGAATTAGGAAGAAACCGCGTCGTCGTCGAACTTCTGGCCCCATCATCTTCCCTTCCCTCCATTACACTACAGCCTACTCCATTCTCAAATTATTCACGAATGGTTATCGAAAACTCAAAGCGAATTAAACAATAACCATCATTTACATGGTCACGGAGCCGAAAGGACGGCTCCTGCTACAAATGCATTTTGAGTCACCATGATGGTTCTTTAGGTACAGCGGTGCAGCCTTGCCGTAACCTCCTTTTAGAACTTATCAATGCCTCCCTCCCCCTCTTCTTCCTGCTCCCCTTCTTTCTCCACTCCTTGTCGAAAGGTTCTTCAGGCTGTGGACAAAACGGGAAACGTCCAGACTGGCCACTGAACTTCAACTGCTCACGGGCTAATCAGGGCTAAGCTACGGTAAAGCGCAGAAATGGGTAACCATAAGGTTGGCGACCGAATCAGCCGTATTATAGGTTATGGTGGCTCTTTATATGATTCCATTCCCTTGGCATCGCCCTAAATTCAAGTACTACGGCCATACACAATCCTAAATCCTACAGAGACCCAATGATCTTCCCTAAACTGACTAGAATGCCTATACCCCCTCCCCCTCCCCACTTCGAGCCTCATGCCTATTCCGCTATTCTTGTAGAGCCTAATATAAGCCCCATGACTACGGTAGGTACTAGCCCCCACAAAAAAAACTTATGCTTTACTCAGAAGCGAGATAATCCTTGCTTGCGTAAGGTAACCGGCTTATTTTCTCCTACGCGACGTCAGCAGAAACCCCCACAAGACGAGATCATCCTTACGATCCCGTGAGGGAATTCTTAAACATCCTAAACAACTTTCGGCTGAAAACCTGTACTTGCTAGTCACATACTACCAGACATACCCTTTATATGGCCCCCATGTCATGCCTTCGGAAGTCAATTATCGTGCAATAGCACACTAGCGAATCCAGTTTGTTTTTCCGTTCGACACGACGACAACTTCCTCATTCGATAACCAGAGCTCACTCCCACTACAGCTCTTCTACACTCCCACTCCATCATCAATGGGTAGGAAAGAAAAATTTAAAATTCAAATAGAAAAAAAACAGATGACGTCACCTTGTGAGAGCGTCAACCGTTTCTCCGGGCTTTGCATTATGGCCTGTGTGATCAAGTCCGCATAACTGAGATTGCCCCAAGCATTTCGACGGGTTGTCGATTTTTTCGACACACCAGCACCACCCACTCCACCATCCATTGAATCGTTACCGCCCGTTTGACCACCACCGCTTTGATCGTTTATACCGGGCGATGACATATTGCAGCTACTGTAAATCGATATATTGAGCGTTATCGATCGAAACTTTTACTTTAGCTAAACTTACCCAGGCGAAAAAGTGTTGTTGCCATCGGGGCTATGCAATAAGCCCGTGGAGGCTGCTGAATTCGCACCCAGCCTGCCGTTCAGGTTTTCTGCGCTGTCGTAGAGCCTGNTTTATACCGGGCGATGACATATTGCAGCTACTGTAAATCGATATATCGAGCGTTATTGATCGAAACTTTTACGTTAGCTAAACTTACCCAGGCGAAAAAGTATTGTTGCCATCGGGGCTATGCAATAAGCCCGTGGAGGCTGCTGAATTCGCACCCAGCCTGCCGTTCAGGTTTTCTGCGCTGTCGTAGAGCCTGAAAGAAAAAAAACGTACTGATGGGCAATATTGTTGAAAAAATGATAAAAAAATGAGATTTGGAGATACCCGAACGACTTTTTTGAGGATTAGGTGTAGGCCAAGTGGAACCGACCTCGATAAAGTCAAAGAAACTCGTCCGTTTATGGATAACTCGCACACGTTCGAATAACTCAGAGTGCCGTCAACGACGACGACAACGAAGGAAACGCTCCACCCCTCGTCGACTACTCCGTAACTACTTCCCTGGGGACGACGTTATCAGTCCTATAAATTGTTTACCGCGCGCCACACACGCCACGAGAGAGGCCTCTCCTCGTCGCTAGAGCCTATGGATGGGCACGACGTCAACGTGCTTACTCATCATTGCAAGTTAATACTGCCTATGAAATTATTCTGTTGCTTATCTGACCAAAAGTGGTGGTCCTGAGCGGAATTCATGACATCAGGAAATCATCTGCATTGCACTTTGAAAATAAAAAGGGATGTGTTGGGTGGCCATATATAAATTCTGATTGAAAAAATGCAATATAGATCAAATTTGACAAAAATTCAACGAGATGGGCGGAGTTTGTTAAGTGGGCGTAGCTTTTGGCTTACCTACAAATGAAACGTAACAGAATGAGTTCTAATCCGATGGATTTCAAAAAAGTGAGGGTGTAAATCGTTGCAGGACGTAACTCTAAACTTACTCTCCGTCTTCCTCCGGTATTTGTTCGTGTATCAATGGACTAGTCTGTGCATTAACATCCAATTGTGGTCGCCGCATTGGCCAAGTATTGCATCGATCACGTGACAATGGTCCCATTTCTTCACCAGAATCACCACCACCATCAGATGAAGCGCTTGTCGTGGTGGCGGTAACGGTACCACCACTACCGGCAACTGGGGACATATAGACATCGCCATTACCGACCAATTGACCGATTGACGACGATGCAGATGATGATCCACTGCTTGGCAATGGTGGTTGCATAGCCAATGGTGGCGGTGGTGAAATGGCAGTGACTTGGCTGCTCATGGTGGTGAGCGATGCAGATCTGCAGCGACTCAGATGTGATACGGCTCTCTCCAGACGTCGTAGCGACCAACGAACTCCTTGTACTCGTCACACGATGATCGTTTGTGGTCAGCACGATGTGGCGGAGCACACTGTGAAAGCGATCGAGTGAGATCAGATCAAGAAAATCAACGGCACACATATGGATCGACGAGTGGAGAAACGATCAATACGATCAATAATCGATCAGCCGCGCCTAGATTGGCAAGAAACTCAAGCGATAGTCTCTAGGAAATAGGAAAAAAGAATTCAAGACAAAAGGCACTGAGATGAACGAACAGGGCGATTTCTATTGAAAGATTAAGACTTCATTGGAAAAGCTCTAAGAAGATTACCCTTTCCTATAGGAACAATACCCAAGGGGGATCGATACGGTAGAGGCCTTGTGCAAATGCAAAAGGGAAAGGAATGTTTTAAAGCTTACAAATTCCCAAAAAAAGATACACGTGTAAACGAATAATGGTATGTAATACGTAATAATAAAAATTGAAATGCAAATACAAATAAAAATTCGTAATATTTAAAATGCTATTTTTCTATTCTATACGCATCTCGCAAACCAACGTGACTGGAGACATCGCATCCTAATTCAAGCACCCATAAAGAATTTTTCACTAAAGTGCTGACCCAAAGCTTCATTCTATCTATAGATTTGAAAAATTCATTTTATTTATTATTTATTACAGTTGTAGTAAATTATCAATACAAAAAAAACAATAATAAACTAGCGGATCAAGTAGGATTTCCCAAAAGTTCGAGTGAATTCATGAAGAAAGGCCACAAGAAATACTCGAGAAAAAAGAATAAAGGTGAAAAAAANAAGTAATATGAAGACTGACCGGTAATTAGGCGATTTTTTAAAGACCGGTAATTAAGCAATTTTTTAAAGACAAACTACAATCCCCATAGGGCAGGTTTCCTTGCGGGGCTGCCAAACTTGAAATCCGATTGGATCGGAAAACTCCAAAAAATACCGTAACCAGTAAATGCTAACTTCATAATGGTTAGCAAATCCATAGAAGCCTGAGATGGTAAAGAGAAATTGAAAACAACAAATAAACAATAATACAAATAAATTTCCTTAAAATTAATGACACACCACATTTTACAGATTATATGTAAACAAAAATTTCTTGAATTACCAAAAATAGAATTTAAAAAATGATTTAAAGGCATTTTTGACACGTAGGTTTGTGGAAAAAAAAACTAAAATTCCTAATTGTATATTGTAATTAAGCCAACATAAAGAGTCTAACGAAGAATAATTCCAGAAATAAACTGAAAAATTCAATTAATGGCGCTTTTTTAGTAAGTCTAGCTAGATTTCAAAAGATTTCATGTTTTTTTTATTGTGAGGTATAATTACACGGAGATTAAAAGGCTTAGAAGGAGTAATTCGCAAAATAACACTCAAAAGAGGTGAATTCAAAAGCAATTCCCACAAATCCACTAAATTCTAGAGGAACACAATACATTTTTTCAAATATAGGAGATAAATTGGTCGAAACCAAAAGTGACTAACAAAAATGACTGCTAAAAATAATATTCAAAAAGTAAATGTAGGATAACATCCCCCGGAATATCATAGAGAACTGAGCCATTCTTTAAATCTATTTTTAGTGTTTTTTNTTTTTTAAAAATTTGCAAAAGTTTTGCCGAATTCAGAGAGCGTACATTATTTTGCATGAGATATAATTACTCTAAGGGTAGAAGGTAAGAAAAGTTAGTAAAACGTTAATCATAAAATATTAATATCGAAATGGCTTTACAAAAATTCTGAACCGAACTCAGTTGAATGTCAGAACAATTGGGCCCAAAATATAGAAAGACACTCAATTTCATCAAAGACAATACCAGGCTCAGTGAAACACCATACGCCCAAATTATTAAAAAACAAATATTATAAAGTCGCGGTCAAAATTATACAATATATAAATAAAATAGATAGAAATATGAGATATATAAAATATAAATAAATGTAAATATAATGCTATTTATACAAAAGCATTGAGAACAGCCCACACGTGCCGAAACCTATACCATATAAATAAAGGATATAAATAAAAACGGATATTTATAAAATAGATCATTACGTAACGGACACGATACTTGCACGTGTCCCACGCACATGAGAATAGGATTAATGCGAGACGGTTTAAAAATAAAAAAAAAATCCGAAAAATTGGAGGATCACATGGGATTAGTAAAAGCGGAAATTAATAAAGTATTAAAATATAAGAGATTGAAGGGTTTTTTGTTCGAAAGACCTAGCATTACCTAGAAAAAACCTTGTACCAGTGATCCAGTTGGGACTACAGTACAGCGATTCAAAGGATAGCCCGAAAACGGATGGTCATCGACAGAGTCCCGGATTCCACAGACGATTCCGATTTTCAAGAGGTCTGGCTCTTTGCAAACGGAATAAACCCGAAAAAAGCCCCTCCGAATTTGACAATGTGTTCTGAGCCGCCGAGAGAACGTCACAGAAAATGACTATGACTGAAAACAATAATCAGTAAAGAAGTAACAAGTGAGACCCCAGGTACGTCAAAGGGTGGCTGATTGCGCCTCAACGGACGAAACACCGACCGATCGATGGCTGGGCAAAAGTGATCGCAATTGCAAAAAAATGAACCATCGACGACGACGACGACNGCAGCCTTCCAACTGGGAGCTGGTCCGCGGTTGATTAATGGGTTAGGCTACGGTTAGATAACGAAAAAAAGGCGAATAACCCTACCAAAGGTTCAAAGAAAAAGTTGATTCCGAAAAAAAAACTTTGAAAATCAACAAAATCCCGTCATTTAGNGTTCTGAGCCGCCGAGAGAACGTCACAGAAAATGACTATGACTGAAAACAATAATCAGTAAAGAAGTAACAAGTGAGACCCCAGGTACGTCAAAGGGTGGCTGATTGCGCCTCAACGGACGAAACACCGACCGATCGATGGCTGGGCAAAAGTGATCGCAATTGCAAAAAAATGAACCATCGACGACGACGACGACAACGAAACGGATCGTCAGCAAAAGATAATGGATGAAACGAGCAGGAAGATGGTAATTTGAAGAAAGACGACGAGAATCGGTCGCGAAGCGGCGTCGCGCGCGGAGTTCAAAATCGGGACCAATAGGTTATCAGAGGTCAGGGCGGTTCAGGTTCTTGCTAAGCCACCGCCTATGCTCTCAGGATCATTGGCAGCCTTCCAACTGGGAGCTGGTCCACGGTTGATTAATGGGTTAGGCTACGGTTAGATAACGAAAAAAGGCGAATAATCCTACTAAAGGCTCAAAGAAAAAGTTGTTTACGAAAAAAACTTTGAAAATCAACAAAATCCCGTCATTTAGTCCCTGCTGATACCGGGCCTTGACGGACAGAAAGATACAGTTCTGTGAAGAAAGCCAAAATCTTGAGACGAAAAACTCGGTGGAATAGCCGGTTTCTCGAAGATTGTGCAGAGGCAATACCGAGATCCTCAAAAATCACCAAAATCATCATGGTCCTACATTAGAATCCAGGAATAAATCCTAGCATGTCAAAAATTCAGAAAATCATTTTTAAAATCGATTTCAGCTGAATATGTCTACTTGTTGGATAAAATATATTGAAAATTGTAAAAATAAAGTTGAAAGCCTGAAAGCCCATTGATTGGAGGCAGAGAAAGAGAAAAATCAAAAAGAACGAACGGACGATACCTTCGAAACAAATGGATTATCTATTGATTTTCTTAAAACGTGCATTGTAATCAGGCAACGGCAACGATGACCTCGGTATGGTGGTAGCTATCAATCGGTTAGATGTTTCAGAAATCTATTGGAATCAAATGCGATTGTCTATGGAACCCCTGAACGCCCAGGCCCCCATGGAATAGGGGACCACGTTTTCTAAAAAGCAACTAAAATCGTAGAAAATGCCTATTGGAAGTAAAAATCTTGAAACAAAAACGATATGTTCAAATTAGCCTACAAACAGGATATTCATAATAAATTCGACTATTTCGATGACGTTTTAGAAAAACAAAGTAAAAATGGGTGGCTATTACAGATCTATATGAGACCGGGTCCAAATGCTTTATCTCGCAGATGTTTTTTGACCACGCCCCTCTAAACTGCTTGGGCACAGTTTTTTAAATTTATATTGAGAAAATCTAGCATTTTTTTCTATGTGATGAGTTTGTTGATGTTTTAAAGATTTGGGAGATGATCAAGGCTCCCGCTTAACAACTTTAAAACTAAAGGAAAAAGAAAAATTAGGAAAACAGAAAGGAGCGGTAGTTGGCAGTCCATAAATGCCTACGTGACAATCATGAAAATTGACGAATAGCTGTTCAGGAAAAAAAACCGTCCCAAACACCAGGACCGAGTGTACCCAAATGATCGCAGACCAGCAGTTTTCGAATTATTCAGCCAACTGGTAGAGTCTAGGCTTTCGAGAGTAATTTTAGTAATAAAAAAAATTTAAAAAAAACAATAAAGGTGAACTATTTGAAAGCTACAGTTAGCCGAGCTTCGAAAAAATGAGTAAAAGGATACAGTGTGGAGCAAGAATCACTGTAGAAATTAATATCAAAAGAAGATATGAAATCATTTGGGACCAAAGTGTTGGAAACGGTTAAGTCTACTGCCGTAATAGAGCTTCTACAGAATGCGCCATGCATCAAACTTCAACTGAAAATGAGATTCCGTTGTAAGAGCTGAAGCATTAAAGACAATCTTTTGAATCAAAGAAGAAACGCAGTTATAGAGACCAGGAAAATCTGCATGAGGGCGAGATTCTAGAACGACAGCATTCTTCGGAGTGCGCCATGCCCTAGATTTCAAATGAAAATCAAGTCCCTGTAGAACCAAAAGCACATATGAGCCATGCACAGAATGTCCCACCCATAAGACAAATATACTGCAGGAAGCTCGAGAAGGACGTACCTAGAAAAAAAGTGCAAGATGCAACATTCGTGGGAAGCCAAC